AGAAACATTTATAGAAAGCTGTCTGTGTCTGGCATGGGGGTAGCAATACTGGATTTGGATCCAGTATTTTCTCTGTAGGTCTAAGACCAGAATCAAACAAGAACTCCAAGATTAATACCAAAACAGATTCGAATTCTGAGCATCTCTATTGCAGAAAATACAGATGCAAACTGGAACGGGTCATCTCATGATTCATCTGGTCTAGAAATATATTCTATGGAGTAGAAAGGGCAAGGCAATTCACCTGGGCATTTTCTGCAGGACTTTAGGTAATACTCACCAACCTAATAGGTAAGGGCAAGGTACAAAGTCTGAAGATGTATTACATCAGCTGGAGGTGTGGATCAAGTGGTAGAGCACCTGCCTAGCAAGCACAGGACCCTGAGTTCAAATCCCATACTGCCAAAAAAAAAATGAAGAAAAGAGATGTATTATATCCTAACTGCAGTATAACTACTACAATAAGCTTCTTTAGAATAAAGGAATCCTATACAGAGAGGTTACAATCACCCTTAAAGATGGCATGGATTAATGAGGGTCTTCTTCTAATGACTAAATACCAGGAAACACAGGAAGTCAAGATCCAGACTAACACAGTCCCTATAACTTGTCGTAGTGAACTGTATCATGCACTATAATACTGTTTCCCAAATACAACCATGAATGAAGAACAACACAGCAGAAACAAGAAAGGTTAACTAAGAAGAGAGATAAATACTTTAGAGATAAATAGTAACTCAAAAGAAGGAAAGGCAACAAATAATTGCAAGAGTAAACCCCTCCTTTAAAAAAATAACTAGAAAATGATGTTCAAGTAAGTAATATGAAAAAACAAGCTTTTTTTTTTCTTTTATTTTTGGCAGTTACTGGGGTTTTTTTAACTCATGGCCTCATGTGTTAGACAGGCGCTCTACTGCTTGGGCCATACCTCCATACCTTTTTGCTCTGGTTATTTTGGAGACAGGGTCTTGATTTTTGTTCAGGTCCCCTAGACCATGATCCTATTTTAAGCTACCCATAGACAGGCACATGCCACCATGCACAGCCTTTACCTTTTGCGATGGGGTTTCTCGAACTCCCTGCTCTGGCTGGCCTGGAACTCAGATCTCCCAATCTCAGCTTCCTAGTGGTATTAGGGATTGAACCCAGGGCCTCATGCATGCTAAGCACTGAGTTATGTCCTAATGGCCACTTTTTAAAAATCACAAATTTACAAGAGTATTTACAGTCTAATCTTCAAGCTATTTTCAATATTTCAGATTTCTTAATGGCCATATTTACCAGCTATAAGATATCCAAAACCAACTAAACCCTCTAGTTTATTTGGCTACAAATACAACTAATGATCATCCCATGTCAAGTAGAAATTCAGATAGGCAATACATGACTTTGGTAATGAACAACTGAGGAGAGCTTAAATGTGTCACATTAGAAAATGTAGCTCTATAACTAAAAAAGATTACTATCTTCTCTTGACTCACAGAAGAAAATTTTCTACATGGTCTTGAATTTTCTCTTCCTGCTTTAAAAGTTTTGACTACAGATGTTCTTCAGCCCCCCAAAGGAAGGGTAAAAAAGTTAATCATCATACATACCTGGTATACCAAGCTGCCCTGCTATACTACATACACTTCTCACTAGATTTGACAAGTAACCTTAGTGCCATTTGGTTTTATCCTGCTAATGCAGATTCTTTTAAGTATTTAGTGCATTATTTTAAAATTAAAAGACCTAGAGATGTACAGCAAAATTGTTCTTGGTTCTTTTATCACAATTAAATCTGCAAGGATGCCACCAGATGCTCTGTCACTTGAATAAGTTTGAGAACCAAATTAAAGGACTTCCTTATGTATAAAAGCCCTTGTGGTGCCAAAAATTATTTATAGAAATAACATTTAGAAAGCTCACTAAAGAGTAAAGCCTAGTCACTTAAAATAATTTTGTTTTGTTTTGTTTTCTTTTTTTTCAAGATAGAGTCCTCCTGTGTAGCCCAAACTCACCTCAAACTGGAGAATATGCTGCCAAGTGCTGGGATTACAAGTGTGAACCACCATACCCACTTTGCCTGCTCATTTTTAAAACATCAATTTTAATATTTCTTAAGATATGCCAAATGCTGGCCAGGCACAGTGTTTTACTCCTGTAATCCTATCTACTCTGGAGGTGGAGATCAGGAAGATCAAGGTTTGAGGCCAGTCTGGGCAAAGACTGAGACTCCATCTGAACAAAAAAGTTGGGGGAGGGGGGTTGTATGTTTGTAATCCCAGTTACAGAGGAGATGTAGGTAGGATGAGCACAGTCCAAAGCACACCCCAGGCAAATTCGAGACCCCATATGAAAGATAACTACAGTAAAAAAAAGGGTGGAGGTGTGGCTCAAGTGGTAAAGCACTTGAGGCCCTGAATTTAACCCCCACACAAAACACCAAAATGCTGAAAAATTACAGCTTTTGGATGATGAATTTAGGCAGGAAAACAAACTCTTCAATTAAACAAAGTCAGTTTAGCTATTGTGTCTTTCCTTCCTTTTTTTTTTGAGACAGGATCTCGATGTGTCACCCAGGCTGGCCACAGTAGTTATCCTACCTCAGTCTCCCTAGTAGCTGGAACTACAGACAGAAGCCAATATGCTGAGTTTATTGTGTTTTTTATAGAAGACAAGGGTGTTAAAAAATCCAGTCATCAAGTTGCCATATATACTCTTTCATTGTTCCAGCCACAACAGAAATAAAATCATATAAAAACCACTTTTTATATGCATGCTTGTGGGGCTATTTTATTTATATTTCTCATTATACACCCCATATATGTTTGTTGAAAAGAGATGTCCCAAATTTCTAGCTAAGAATAAAATATATACAAGAATAAATGTAGCAACTTGTTTACTATATAGTAGTATTTATTTTTTCAAAGGTTCAACCTTTGGGTTTTAATGAAATGGCAGAAAAACAAGGAAGTAAAAATAGTGTATTGAAAAAGCATTAAGGTTTGAAGAACTTGGACAAAAGCCAGGAAAGTTAGATAAAGCTGATAGTCAGCCTTTACTCAGAGTATTCTTTCTTCTTCCTGTTTACAGACTAAGTTACCAGCCTTTATCAAGTGGTGGCTTCATTTTTTAAAAAGGTAAGACTGTTGCATTTGTGGTATAGAAATATTATGCTCTTAACATGTTAGTGACGAGGCAGTTCTGACCACAGCAGCAGCTCATGCTTGCATAGCCATCTCTCCTTGAATTTCAAAAATATGTTAAGCATGTATAAGCAATTCAATTCCTGCTTCACCCCGGAGAGCTTAAAACTCCTATAAAAATGTATTGTCATGTGTGAATTGCTACAGATTTACAGGGAAAGAAAATCTGATAAAACCCAAGTGCCTCATTAGCTCAAGAGATTAGGACAACCACCTAGGGCTAAAAGGACTGGCCTTCCAGATTATTACTGTCATCTTAATTCACAAGTTTCAAGGAACATACCTGCAATTCACTTCTCCCAGGTTATAAGTGAAAGCGTATGAACTAGAATCACTCAAACAAGGACAACAATCCATCTAAACCAGGGCATAGAATCTTTAACTTTGAGGAGAATAGCCTCAAACTATCGTTTTTTTAAAAAGCAGAAAAACCTACTTTTACCATCTCAATTGACCACAAGAAGATTTTAAATTTTGCAAACCTAGTAATAAAATCAACCTACAGGTCATTTCTATCAACCAGCTGGTGAACTTAAATGGATCTCCAACTGCAAATACTAAGTGCAAGTGATTAATCATTAAGTCCACTAAAGTCAAGTGCGAACAGTCACTGCCCGAGGGGTGACCGCGAGGTCCCTCAGAATGTGGTCTATATTTAGCTATCTAAGCTTTGTTTACAGAACAGTGGGATACAAATCCGCAGGAGGAGGCCTTCCTTTACACCATCCCAGCAGCTGAGGCGATAGCAGTTACAGGGTGCTAACTTTTCGGTCCTTGGAGGCTGCACCCCCGCATGCCCAGAACTGCCAGTAGGCTCCGCGAAGCCGCGGCGGCTCCAGGGGCCCGGGGTGCGCGCCACCCTCCCCTCCGCCGCTCCCTCAGCACCCGCAGCCGGGGCGCGCTCCCGCGCGTCCTCCAGATCACCTTCAAGGGGGCGGGCAGAACTGCAGGGGCGGGGCCATCGAGCGGCAAGACGCTGGCCAATAGAAACTCTGAACTCGCCGCAGGCGCCCAATCCTGGCGGTGTAGCTAACAGTCTTGGCCCAGGGTGTCCAGAATTGGGGGCGGTGACACTGGGAACTAAATTAAGACGCGGAGCCCTGGAGTGGTGGGAAGGTGGGGAGGTTAGGCGGGGCCTCCGCCGGCGTTCCGCCCGCTTCCCCGCCCGCTGGCTCCCCGGGGACGACCGCAGAGGCCGGGCTCCCCGAGCGGGCCCGGACGCGATCGCGGTAAACAAAGGCTGGAGGGCGGCGGGGGCGGGGGTAACGGTCAGGTGACAGTGCCCAGCACATTTCGCAATCGCTTTAACGGGGCTCCTCTGGCCCGTAGCACTGGGACCTCACCTTGATCCCGTTGGTCGCCTCTACCAAACGGGAAGCCTGGATTTGAGACAGTGGCGCTGCCGGCGCTTCCAGCGATAGAGAAGAGCAGTGCCGTTCGAAGCCCATACCAACATACAGGACCAGTCCCCCTCGCTGGCCCCCTGCCCCCCGACTCCGAGGCGGTGGGTTAACCGCTCCTGCCGCCCGGGACCCGAGGCTCTCCCTGCCCAGCAGGCCGCGCCGCAGTTCCGGGACCGTAACGACGGAGGTGGGGGGAGCCCTCCCTCCCTCAGACGGTAGCCATCGAGACCGACTGGAGAGCTCTGGCGCGCGCTGGTGGCCCTGCGCCCCCAGAAAAGGGCACTTTGGGCCCAGCCACAGGCCCCCCGAAACCCTCGTTGGTCCCGAGAGGCCGGCCGGCTTTCGCTGGCTCCCCTCCCGCAGACACCCGGTGGTCGGGACCTCGGCCGCCCCTCCGCCCCCGAGGTACCAGGCTCTAGCCGGTTCCTCGCCTTTGGGCCGGTCCCGGAGCTGTCATCCCCGGGTACCTCTCGGCGAAGGCTGGAAGCGGCCAGCGGGCAGCAATGGGGCGGGCGGCGCAGCGCACTCTCCAGCGCCGGCGTCTCCTGCACCCGCCAGTCTCCGCCACTGCTCACAACAAAGGAAACATGTGACCGTCCCGGCCAAAACACTGAACGTCATTGACCCCTGGCCAATCGGGTGGGTGTCATTCGCCCGGGGCACTCTGGGAGATGTAGTTCCAACTGCCGGAAGGCCGCACTGGCCACCTGCGTTCCGGCTATAGGCTATAGGTGGGAGTTGGGTGTGGAGGGTGACAAGACCCGATCGAGGGCTGCTTACTGGAAACACGGGAGTCAGGTTTCCAGTCGTGCCTCTATTAAGGAAATAAGTCTTGTGCAAGCCTAGCCAGAAGCATGCATTATTTATTGCCCTCAAAGTCCCCTCCACGTCCCAAGGCAAAAGCACGTGACCAAGAACTCGGTTTTAATTTAACCTATAGCAATACAATAGGGAAATCTGAGGGCCTGAGGGGTAGTCACTTAGGACCCTGGTCACTGAAGGCACAAAGGAAACTGCCTTTTTTTTTTTTTTTTTTTTGTAAATCTGTTAATGTCACTGGTGTCAGCCCTAGATTATCTTTTAATTTTAAATGCACATGCAGGTTCAAAAAGTTGTCGCAAATAGCTATTTTCTGAGGCAGATAGATTCCTCAGAAGGACATTATTTTGTTTTGTTCTGCAAATTTTTTTCAACTATGAGTATACTTCCTACTTTGGCAACCATTTGACTAGTTTTGTTTTCAGATATCAAAATTATAGCACCTTTCTTCATGAATCCAGTCGTGCCTCTATTAAATAAGGGGATGTGTTCCAATGACCAGGAGTGGAATAATATGGAAGGTGTGTGCCCAGGCCTTTTAAATATGCTTTTTAGGCCTCTTTTTCGTCTCTTATTAAAATTATTAAGAATGAAAAACACCTGCTATTCATTGAGCACCTACTGTAGGAGGGGGAAAGTTTCTTTTCACTCCTCTAGGGTTCCTGGCTAGGCCTGAAATAAAAACTGCTTACCAGTCTGGCTAGATCAGTCCCCATAGGCAGAGATCTAAGAGGCTAATGTAAGAATCCTTTTTCTGGCTGTTGTCATGTCTATGATCTGTTAACCATGGCTTCTGAATTGAGCAAGGTGTCTCTAGCTGATGGCATTCCCAACCTATTATACCTCATATTGGGTGCCAGAAACTGTCAAGATGGAAAAGTGTGATTGATGTCTTTCCTTATCCACCATAGGGACCTGTCAGACACTTTTATAAGAAAAGCATTGGTGAAGGAGATTTTACTGAAGGTTTCACTAAGAATTACATGGCATCTCATATTGGAAAGCTCAGTAACAATCTGCTCCCTCATCTCGGCTCCTCCTCTTTCCCACCAGACACCTCCCCTGGGCTTTTCCCTGTAACAGGCCTGCCTTTGAGTTTCCTCCCTTTCTGTGATCTCTGCCACCTTCCTCTGAGACTCCCTCCTCCCATCTCTTTTTCTGTTATTCACATGTTTCCATCACTTTTCAAATAGGAAAAGTTTCACTCTGTAGAAGACAGATGCTGTCATAATAAAAGTTTACCTCTGCCCACCCTACTCCACCCTACCGTTTTCCTCCATAGTGCTATTTAATGTTTCAGCAGGTCTGTTACACAATACCCCCTCAGAGTGTTAAGTGAAGAAAGAGTAAATACAGCACACTATTTGCTCATGGCACCTGAGCCTCTCCAGTCTTGAGAGCTACCTCTTCCCTCCCTTCTACTCTGGAGAGGTTAGACATGAATAATCTTTGAAACTCTTTGGAGGCAGAGGTCTGGTTCTCCCTGGCTATTTAGATACCATGAAGGATTTGTTTGTTGATTGATTTATTGCAGTGCTGGAGATGGACGTTTAAGCCTAGCACACTAGGCAAGTTCTCTACAACTGAGCCCATGACCAGCCCCCACCAAGGAAGACTGAATTGCTTCTCTGGGGCCTACTCCCACTCTAGCCAAGCCAGTCATGGGCACCACTAGGCCAGGCAAAACTCAGGATCAGACACATTAGTATTAGATTTTACAGGGAAAAATAAAGCTGGAAAATTTCCATTTTGAGATTTGGGGAAAGAGGGAATCTGCCACTTGGAACATGAACTCCTCCCAGTCTGTCACTGATCTTTCTTTTTCCCTCATAGGTGCCATCTGCCACAAGGTGTCCTTCCTCACAACTGACAGGATGTGACCTTTCCATTTCTTGGGGTTGGGTGGAATGGAAGTCTTCGCTTGTTCCTGAAACTGGCCTTCACAGGTTGACATAGATGAAGTTCTGGAGCACTTGTGCCTTGATGGCCTTAGGATTTTGTTTGTGACCAAACCTGCCACATTAGATACAAATAAGGGTGAGTGTCCTCAGCATGAGCCCTGAGTTCTGAGACACACCTGCATACTTCCCTACTATGATTCCAGCCCCAGCTCTAAGAACAGCTCATTTCACCTCCTTCTCTTCTTGCTTAATCTCTTCTCCACTGGTGGCCCCTTTGGTCTCAAAAGAAGCTGGATTTGGGGGGTAAGTTTTGTCATAAATTACTACTGTCCTGACTGCTTGAGGTAGGCCAGATCCCCCAAGGCACAGCTCCCAGCACCTTTCACATCATTTGCTATGAACACCCTCTGAGGTATGAACACTGACATTCTCCTGCTCACAGCCTTAGGCCAGTCCTAGAAATAACTGTCTTACTACTCCCAGCTCTGCTCTGCAGGCTGTCTCTCAGATGCTGCAAGTCTACGTAGAGGTCCTGCGGCAGGCCCCAGCAGGCTCTGCTTTCATCTCCAGTTTCGCACATCCAAGGCTCACAGCCTCATGACATTTAAGAGGCATGTACTGACTTTAGCCTGGGATTGCTCCCCTTCCAAATGCCTGCAGGTTCTGAGAATCTGTCTTGGATATCTGTAATAGCTTCAGGCACAGTCCTCCTAGGAATCCTGCGGTGGGTATGAAGGGAAGGGGCTGGACCTGTCCAAGAATATCTGCAGCTCACCTCCGCTCCTGTTCTTGAAAGACCCCACCCGCTTTCTTAGGAAATCGTGTTAGCGAAGGCTGGAGGAACACTCTCCAGCCCGAGAACTCTCAGTTTAATGTCTCACTGGATGCCATGCTCACTGGAGGCTCTGTCTTGGCATTCATTTCAAACAGTGCCACCTCCCTGAAGCTCTAATGAGGATCTTAGAGCAGTTTCTACAAACCAAAGATAGCCCAGTGATCACCCAAATTTGTGCCATTTTACTGCCTTCTATAAAACCAGCCCTTTGACAGTCATATCTTCTGTCTCCCTATAAAGATTTCAAATCTCAGTGCTTCCAATGGGGCTTTAGAGTTGAAGAGTCTAAGTTCAAACCACATGGCCATGAATAAATTTAATCTTTCTCAGCCTCAGTTTGCTCATCTGTAAAATGAAGATTAAAAAAATATCCACCATACAGAATTAGGAGGATTAAATAAGAACATTGAGAAACAGTAAGTGCTCAATAACAATAAAAATTGTGAATAGCTCTTCTGCTGATTCTAACTATGTCTTCTATGCTTTAGTTTTTGCTTTAAGAATGGGAGGAATAAAGAAGGAGAGAAAAGAAGAGTGAAAAAATATATGCCATCCTATAGTATAGATTTGAAAAAATAAGCCTAAAGAAATGAAATAATTTAGGAACCTAGAAACCAAAACCAGTCCTTTGAACACCCAACCAGAGTCCTATCCTCTAAAGAGAGATTGCCAATTGGGTATAAGAAAACAGTCTGCTCCTAAAATATCCACACTCAAATGCCACATAACTGAACTCAAACCATGGTTGACTGTGAGTTTCAGACCAAGGAACAAAGAATCAGGGGTTGAGGAGCTCTGTCTTTCTTTCAGGAACATTTAACATTAAAAAAAAAAAACCTACTATGTGTGCATGTACACTATTCAAATACTTGTTTTATTTAGTTTGTATTTTTGGCAGTTCTGGGGGAGTGACCACAGGGCATCATTCATGCAAGGCAGGCACTCTACCACTGAACAATATCCCCAGCCCCTAAATATTTCTTTTCAGTGCTTTTTTTTTTTTTTTTTTTAAATCCTTGCCTGACTATTTGCTTCCAGCTCCAAATGACTCTGTAACTGGCCTAGAAAAGAGTGAGGCCTCCCAGGTCACCAGCACATAGGGACAGAGCCTCTTGACCCTGCTTGAGACAGCATTGCAAGCACATGCCTGACATATTTTGGAAAGCCTGCCTGGTTCTATTACTGGTACATGAAAGTTTTGCCCCAGCAGCAAATCTCTAAATTTAGATGCTTTTCAGGATGAACTCTGAGTGATCTTTGTCCTGAAGACAAGGAGGGAATTGGAGGGCACCTTGCTTTCTTATTTACTAATTTGCATGACAGAGTTGATATTTTATAATATAAAACTTGTCAAGATTACACGTTCATAATGGAAAATAAACAGGGAGTATCTAAGGTTTCTCCTTCATAGTTCTCAGTAAAAATTTACCCAGGGTTTAACTCAAGTGAAATAAAAACAAATCCAAGGTGAACTTTTTTTTTTTCCTGGTAACTCTATGGGGGTATCTGGAATTAATAAAACTTAGGAATTTAGTTAAAATATAATGACTCAATCTCCAGTTTTGCCATTTTAATTGAAGAAAAGACAACTTCACAAAACATTAAAAATAAATTAAAGATGGCACACGTGTGTTCCCAGCACGAGGGAGGCAGAGGATTGTGAGTTCAAGGCCAACCTGGGCTATATACCAAGACCCTTTCTCCAAACAAATAAATAAAACCATCAACAGGAGATGAAATAGAGAAAGAATCTTTAAGGAATTAAAATTTAGTGAGGCTCCAGTCCTATCAAGACTAACCCCACCAAAAAATCTTATGGAGACTCAAGAATGTAACTTTGCACACAAATTGGGTTCAAATTCTGTCCCTCCTATCACTAATTGGGTGACATTATTTAATTACTTTGGTGCACAGCTTCATTGTCTGAAAATAGAATCTGATAATAACTTATTATGATTATTAACTGATT